TGTATGCATGATCGCTTAGTAAAATTGTGAAATATATCACCTACTGAATAAAAAATGTGATCTGTATATTCTGGGTTAGATCTTTTAATATACTATATAATTATCTTAATAAAGTATTTTTTGAGAAAGATCAATAAAACGATCTTGAGGATTCTTGATTGCAAGATAATATAACTATCAGTTTAAGAATTTCTATGCAACAGTTATCTAGCGAGCCTATAGAAATTACAAGAAAAGGCCTAATTTATTAGCAAAACGGGTTTAAAAGGTGATGAAAAATGATAATACTCCTGATTATATTAAGTTTTTAGGTATAAAAAATAAATCAGAACAATCAGAATATATTTGTTATAGAGATAAAGAACATTGTTATCCAGTAAGAAATGATTAGATATATGAAAAGAAAGCCCAATTATGGTAACAATCATCTTTTGTAATATTCATACTTGTTAAGAAATTATTATATCTGCAAGGTTATATAGTTGTTACAGAAGGATATAAAAAGTATTGGCCACCTAATGTGATATAAGTGAAGTGTATATTGTCACGTCCCTTTCATATTAAGCTATAGTTTTTTTATTTTAAGTTATACGTAATTGTTATATAAATGATCAAAATAAAAAAATCACCATTGTATAACATAAAGTTGGTCATATGGTCATATGAAAAAAAACTTTTTTATTAGTGAAAAAAATTTATTGCAAGGATGTGTCATAAAAAGGAACTTAGTGAAAGCTAAAAAGGAACTATTATCATAGCTAAAAAATTAGAATACATAAATATTAGGATTTCTGCAGTCATAAATTACTCACATTCTTCTGTTCAATATGTTTAAGAGTTATACAAGCTAAAAAGCCTTCCAAAGAAATATTTGGATTGATCACAAATTCTTAATGAAACTGAACACAAACATTTCAAAAGTTTGGTGGTTAGGAATAAAAAACCTGTCGTTAAACTCTTTCTCAAATATGTTTAAATTTTATAAACAAAATAAATAAACCCATTTCCATAAAAACTATTCAAAATAAATTAGCTAAAGAAAATCTCCATTTTTAAATTCCTCGTTTCAATCTTTTAATTTCTGAAAGTAATAAAAAAAATATTATTTGTGGGTCTGTATTTATAAAATTTGGACAGTAAAAGATTTCAAATGAGTTGTCTAGTCAGACAAGAGTACCTATATACAATTTAGAATTTCAGATTTTAGACAAATGTGACACGAACCTTCTGAAAAGTTTCATGAAAACTGCATAGCAGCCACAGTCTAAAAGAGCTTTAGTTGCATGTTTTGGGGGTGTTTTTTCTGGGTTAGCTTAGATCCTTTAGTCCTCTTAGAAGGTCGCATTACTGGAATTACACACTATGAAGTTTTGGCTAATTATACCATTCTTACAGTTAAGTTTCATGCAAAAAAGGTCAAAAAGGTTTTTTTTTCAGAAAGATAATATACCTGTGTATACCATAAGAGTTGCACATTTATTTCTTACTTTCTTAAATGTTAAGATACTTCTCTAACTAACTTAAAGTCCTGATATCAACCTAATAGAAATATATAGTCATATATTGAGGTCAAGATCTGTTAATGAGATTTTCAGCCATCAAGTATTAGGCAGTTAAAACAGTAAATTAAAAAAGAGTGAGATGCAGTACCTATAAATATTACCATAATTTGATCAAATTCATATTATGTTGAGTTCAAACTATTCTTACAGCTAATGAAAAACCAATAAATATTAACCTGTATTTGATAAAAATAAAATAAAAATAAAGAATTATTAAGTTAGTTATTTCATTATTTCATGAAACGTTTTACAAAAGTGACCAATACTTTTTATACCCTTTGTATATATTGGCTTAACATGTTAAAATAGTTAAAGAATCCCAGATATTATCATATTCATAAAAAGTATAATTTTGTATACTTCATCAGAATTTTAGAATACGGGTATATAAGATTAAATTATCAGAAATGAAACCTATATACGATTTACTATTAAATATATATATCATATTTACGAGAAGAATATTATCATAAATTTCACAGACTTAAATGATAATTGTAAGTTTGTGAGCTGAATTTTTCAGATCAGACCTTGATCTAGATTCTGAATATTATATTAATAAAATAATATATTGTTCAGCCATGTAAAGTGCCTCAAAGCTAATGTATATAGGTGTGTACAACATAAATTAGTATATTTTCAATCCTTGTTAAAGTGTATATAATATAATAGTAATATTCTGCAAATTATCTGTGAAATTATGCTTGTGTGATAAAATAATTTTACACATAAATCAATCTCCCAAATATTTCAAATTTTTCTTTACAACATTTAGTAAAATAAGATTTAACAGAATAATATTTACTGATATGAATATTTTCTTTAAAGGGATAAGCTCTCTGATACTACTGATTCTAAATAGAATATATTTATATAACATTGCTTAAGTCTTAATATTAACTATTAAGTAGTTAGGTAAGCGAAAAAAATCTGTATATATATTATCCTAATGCCTTTTGTAAATGTTGAGATCTTTAATGCAAATTTCACATATTTTTACTAATGAATAAAGATAGCATTGCAATATTATAACACTTATTTGTCATCTATTACAACTTAAATTTTAATAATATTGCAATTTGTTACAATATTATGATGCTTATTTGTCACCTGTTGCAACTAATTAAAGTGTCATCTTTACTAATAAACATAAAATTTTAGTGCAAAGTGCCTTGCATATTTTCTTTTATCTCTTTCTCAACATAGATATGAGTTTAAAAAAGTATAAATGTGAGGAAATGGTGGCATTTAAAAGGGCAGTATAGGTAATTTTTAGCTTTTTATTATTTTATTTTGCTGTTAATATTATCTCAGTATATTAGTATTATTTTATATTCTAAACTAACTATGTAAATATGTCTACCGTAATGTATAATAAGATTTATAAATTCTTAATGACTGCTGAGAAACGTCAAATAAAAGCTACGTCTGTTATTTATCTTAGAATGAAAGAAAACTACTAGGTTTCTCAAACAGAGTTAAAATCAATTGTAGAATAAGCTATAGGATCTACTAGCAATGCATTTATAGAAGATTCTTCTCATCAATTAAAATTTTCCAAATTCTATCACAGGTTAGTTAAGATTTATACAAATATTTTAGCTTTATTATTATATGGAGCTTCGTCAATAGAAATATGATATCTAGCAAAAAGCTATTTTGAAATAATTGAAATCAGAATTTAGTGTAATAATAATAAATGGTAATTTATTATTAAAATTATATGTGTCTCAAAATTGAATCTCTACTGATCTTTGCTATAACAATCATTTTTATAATTATTTATCGTTAGAATTTTTTACACATTTATTCTTTGAAATATTTATTTACAATTGTTTACAAGTAATTTATATATTATTTCCTTATATTATTTTCTTATATATTATTTTTTTACAAATAATTTACATACTTTTTTAAGAGATTGTCTTACGAATATAACTAATTAATAAATTTTTGATAAAAGTAAAACATTATTATTTCTGTTATAAAACATGGCTTATTATATAGGTCATAGACTAGCAAAATGTATCTCTGAGAAAATCTTACTTTTTTGAGAAAATTACAGATCAACATAAAATTACCTTATTATTTAACCCCTAGATTTTAGTTTATTTTTAACATAAAATGCAGTATATTGATCAATTTCAAAATTGTTTGTTTGTCAGACATAATAAACTTTATCCTACCATGTCTAACTTTAATAATGATAATGATAAAGAAAATTTTTTTCTTTCCGTTGAACATACTTCTTTAGAACAATATGAAGATAATGAACTTATGCATATAGTTATTAATGACTTACAACAATTTTTTTCTTCTGCTATTTGTACTTGTTATAACAAAAAAAAAAAATGTTTTGAAAAAGTTGGGTTTAAAGCTTTTCTCAAAAGACATTTAGAATTTCGAAGTTTAGAAAAAGCACAGTTAGATTTTGTTTTAATAGGTCAATTATTAGTTTTTTCTAATAATGAAAAAATAGTTAATGGTCACAAAAATAGAAAATTTTTTGATTATCATTTTAATTCTGAAATTTCTTTATGTAAAAACACTTATCTTAAACTTGTTGGAATTTCAGATAGCATTTTAAGAGCAGTTGGAAATCATTTATTAACTGAAGGGCTAACAGGACGTCAATATGAAAATATAAAAAATCTTCTTAAAGTAGCATTATGAGTTACAATTAATCAAAAATTATCAATTGAAATTTATAATTTTATTATTAATTATGCAAATTTTCATGGATTTCCCTTACCAGGCCGTCATATGCAAACTGATTTTTTAGCAGTTATTTTATTACCTACTGAAAAAAGCTATATTAGTGTATATGAAGATTTTGTTGCAGTTAGTAAAGAATTAGATAATGGCACTTCAATTATATCATATAAAAGCTTTGTTCAACTTTGAAAAAATCTTACACCGCATATTAAATTTATGACACCTGATACAGATTTATGTAATAAATATGAAATAATAAAAAAAAATATTCAATATGTAAAAAATATTGATGAAAAAAATGAAGCAGCATTGGATTTGAAAAATCATCAAGATAAAGCAAAAAAGGAGCGTCAATATTATAATAATAATATTATAACTAGTAATACATCTAAAGAAATAGCTCACATTTGTTATGATTGGGCACAGAATGTTCCTATTCCTTTTTCACCACAGCAAGTTGGACAAATTTACTTCAAAACAGCATTTGCGATACATATTTTTGGAGTATGTAATACAAAAGAAAAGCAACAACTAAATTATTTAATTGGTGAAGATGAATTTCCAAATAGTTCTACAGAAAAAGGAGCTAATACAACTATTAGTCTTGTATTTAATGCTTTAAACAGACTTTATCAAAGAGAACAGCATTTAAAAGTCACTTATGATAATTGTATAGCTTAAAACAAAAAAAATCTCTCTTTATTTTTTTGGTCTTGGTTAACAATGATAGGAATGTATGAAATTATTGAAGTTAGTTTTATGGTTTCAGGGCACATAAAATTTTTACCAGATGGATATTTTGGTAATATTAAAGCTCTTTTTCAAAAAACGCGAGTTAATACAGTAGATGATGTTGAAAAAGTAGTAAAAAAGTCCACTAAAAATAATTCTAATCATGCTATTCACTATAATAATGAAAATGGATAGTTATATTATGATTTTGAATTATTTTTAAAACCTCATTTTCAAAATTTACCTGGTATTCAAAAATATCAACATTTTTGGTTTAAAAGAAGTAAACCAGGAAAAATATTTACTCAAAAAGAGGCGAAAGGAGAATTTCAATGTTTTGATATTTTAAAAAACAAACATTTCAATATTTGGGCTCCAATAGCTATATTTTCTTCTAAACCTTTATTATTAGCACGTCAAAAATATTTGTATAAAAATATTTGAAAATTTGTTAATGAACCATTTCAGGATATTATGTGTCTTAAACTAATAGTTAGATAGATTATATTTTTTTTAAAAAAAAAAGTAAAAATAAAATAAAATTTACGATTTTTATAAGCTTTTCTAGTACTATTCCAAAAGCTTTATATAATAAAATCATTTGAAGTTTCAGAATCAAAGTAGTAAATAATTATTGCAATAATAATGTCGGAAAAAAAGTGACGAAAGTTTAAAATGAGGTAGAAGCGTGTGCATATGATGAAATTGCATTAAATCCTAGATTATACTAGTTCAAGGTCTGAATGATAAGTGTGTGAAATTTAAAATTAAACAGATAGAAATTGGAAAAGATAGATCAGGACGCTCAAAATGTATTATTCGTGAATTTACCAAGTAAATTTTCGGACTAGCTGATGATCGTCTTGATCGTTTCCTTAAATATAAGTGTTCTAATTTTAGATTGGTCGATCTTTTTCGGTGACAAAAATTTCAATCGAAATAAATCAATAATTTATTATACTTGCACAACTTAAAAAATCAAATTTTGTATAATTGAATATGTCTAGTTTATGTTTATCAAAAAAAAATTTTTTTTGACAGAGGGTTCTGGAAGTACATTTTGCTAGTCCATGACCCATGTGAAGATTTCTGATTATTATCTGAATTCTGGTCAGAAGGCACTTCAAGTGAATGAAGAAGAGGATTTTTATTGTCAGAAATGCTAATAGATTTTACAATGCTATGCTATTTCTCTGTTGGTATAGAAGGCCTTTGATTATTAATGCTTTTTTTATATGTCTCTGCTCCTATATGATGTCTTTTACACATAATACTTTAAGCATTTGGAATATTTTTAGGAGCATTTCTGATTTCTTCTATAGCTTCAGACGATAAGAGTCTGGTATCTGATCTGAGAAATTTACGAGCACAGGCTGTTTGTTTTTTACTCATACTGAATCTATATGTTTCTAATATATTACCAATAAAAAACCAATAAAAAACTGATAAAAAATTAATAAAAAATTTATTTACCATCTATTTGACATCGATTTTATACTAATATAAATATTACGCAAGTCTGCTGTAACTCTGATTCAAATAGAAATAGGAATAAAACGCATATAATTTAGATACTTTATCGATTTTATATTGGTAAGATACTGGTTAAATATTGATACAATAATGATTCAAAAAAAATATCAGGTTCTTGGTAAATTTCAACAATGAGGCATCTATCTAAAAATCACATAACTGAAAATTCTAAGATAATGTCTGAAAATATATTTTTTTCTACTATTAAAGTGTATACGAAAGTAGGTTATAACCAATGTGCATACTATAAAAGATCTTAGTTTAGGCCATCGTCTTAATAGTGCCCGTGAAATGAAGCTTAAGAGGGCATTACGTATTAGTAGCAAATCTGTTGCTGACCTTGCTAATAAATATAGAAACCTGCAGGACGTATGTTTAAAGCGAGAAAAGGAATTTTAGCAAAGCTATACTGATATTGGTAATAAGATTAGTCAGTTAAATATGTCTAGTATTAAGGTTAGACCCCAACTTATTTTTAAATGGAAGTCTCATTCTGAGAGTCAACGTAAGCTTGAAGCTAAATATACTGCCAAAATCCAATCGCTTAAATCAAATATTAAAACACTAAAAAGAGAGGTAACTTTGGCCTAGAAAGCTTTGTTCATTAACAAGGTCACAATTCTTTCTCTTGAAGCTAAAATATGAGAATTGGAAGATAAGTTAAATAACTTGGAACTAGAACAGGTGTTTTATGATTCAGATGTAGTGAGAGGAGTGGTAGAAGAGCCAGTTCAAATAAACTTATCTAACCCTAAAGAGATCGATTCTTTCAGGCTTGAATTAGAACAGGTAAAGAAGAATCTAGATTCAAAAAATTATGAAATAGAATGTATGGAAAAAGGGATAGAAGCAATACATGGGATAACCAGTTGGGAAATGGATACTTTGTCTTTGATATGATTAAACTTAACAAAGAAAAATTCTCGTCTTCAAGAGATAATCTCAAAGAAAGATAAGGAAATTGAAGATCTCTCTAACCTCCACCTCCGCTTATAAATGATTTGATACAAAAGCTATCAGCTTGGCTCAATGATAATTTAAGACTTCTCGTCCATGAGTGTAGTCTTGAAGATAAAGTTATAGAACTCGATAAAAGTTTTTCTAGAAAAAATATATTAGAGGTTTTGCAAGAACTATTACTCCAGAAAGGGGTTACAAAGCAATTGAATAACACAGAAATAATGCTATTATCTCAAGTTATGCTTCTAGCGAATTTCTCTAGAATCACACTGGCTATTCCTATCGTTGAAAGTTCTTTAATGTTATATGTTATACTTACCTTATTTCTTCTTGCAGTTATATAGATCATTGGGAAAAAAATTTGGGATTCATAGAAAAAAAGTAATACTCCTCCTTATTAGAACTATTTTTTATCATTTCTGAGTATTTTCAAGGCTGGATTATATGATCAGATGCCAGAAGTTCAAAGATAGGAATTGAAATTAGCTAGTATTATTGTACGAGAAAAATATATGCTACTATAAATGATATTGTAAGTTTCTTAGCTGAAATTGTCACACCTCCACTAGAATACTTAATAATATTATCTATTTAAGTATTTTGCTAATGCCTCTGGCTTAGTTATATCCTTAAGATAGAAATACCATAAATTACTAATGTCATTTAGCGTTTCAATTTCTGATATATGAGGTAAGGCAAGTAGGTCAGCAATTATCTCATTTTTTCGCATGGATGAAACTAGGCTGATTTTTTTTGAAATTGATACATGCTCTTTATAACGCATATGATAGACCAATTTATGAAAGAATAAATTATACTCTTCAATACACTTTACAAGCTCACTAGGATATCAAGTAAAATCAGAGCATATTTTTTCTTTCATTTTGTCATCTACTAATAGGTTTTTATCTTTTAAAATTTTTCTAGCGCATTTCATGAATTTTCCCCATAATATCTCGATAGGATTACTTTCTATGAAAATTCCATAGTTAAGCCATTCATTCTGAAATATTTCATATAAACTTCTTATCTTTTGATATAACATTTCTTGCACTTTTTTAATCGCATTTCTGTAAGCACACTTATAAACAATCTTACAGAATCCCATCATCTTAGAAGTAAAACTATTAACTATGATATTCTCTTTCACGAAACTTTCAAGCCATGACTTGGTCTTCTTTTATGCATAATTATCTATTTGTTTATATTTCTTATCTGGATCCTTGATTTGCATTATCTTATCTGAGAAAGTTGGCTTGTATTTCTTATCATACATGATAAATTAGGCATAGAGGCCAATAATAGTTTTTTCAAAATAATGATATAAATCTAGCTTCTTATCCAATTCTTTCGCTACATCAATAAATTCCATTTTTTCGCCTTTCATTAGTGTTAATTTTCTACTATGTAAATCAAAGGTTGTGTCAGAATGGGTTACTACATAACTAAAGTGCTCACTTAGCATTAGAATTTTACTCTCATATTCTCCCTTCATTCGTCCTATAAATCACTGAACACTTTGGTTATTCATATTAGATTTCTATGCGTCAGTCTTTATAAACTGTTCGAAATTCCATTGCTTAATATTAACTAAAGCATCCTTGAGAACATCTTTAGCAATATTATGGAGTAATTGGTCATTGTTAATATCCATAGCTCCCCACATAATTTGATCTTCTATAGTTTTGAAACTTTGGATTTACCCTGCTTCATAGTGTTGATTCTTCTTATAAAAAACTCTTTGGGTTTAAAGTTCAGGGTATCTTCATAGGAGATACTAAAATACTTTTTCTTTCCAGTAAATACTACTGGAAATATTACTTCTTCATAAGCCATTTTGAGATAATCTGATCTAGTTTTTAACCTAAGAATGTTGTTTACTTCATTGCGCAATTTTTCCATTATTTCTATAGTAATTTTGACCATTTCGGTCCAGTATGCTTCTTTAGAAAGTTTGTCTTTAGAAAAGGCTTCATCACATTTTTCAAAATACTTATCTGGACAGGTAAGATACAAAGAATCAGTATCTCCATATTTCATCTCAAAACCTTTCTTTTTTACGAATTCTGCAACGAGTTTGATATTTTTTTTCCTAGCTGAAGTAACACCTCTAGCGAGTTCAAGTATGTATAACGAGAAGTCACTTTGGCCAGTTATACCATAGAATGAATTCATATACAATTTAATAGCTTTTTGCTTTGAATTTAGAGAATTATAATCGAAGCAGATAGAATCATATTCTTTTTTAAAATCATCATATGGCAAACCAATGAAAGGATTCAGGATGTTGGCTATTTCGGCATGCTTCTTAGGTTCGCTTTGCGAATAAATATCATTGATCACACTTGCTATTGAGATAGATCCGCCAACATCTATTCTACTTTTAACTAATCTCATATATTCCTTTTTCTTTTCAAGAGGTTTTAGCTGAGCCTTTAGTTCATTCCATATATTGAGCAAATTTTCCAATATTTTTAGAAATAAACCTTTCTGATCAGATTTATTCCTATACCATATAGTCTAGGCTTACACAGGTTTATCGTCATACTTGAACTCAATAGTATAAAGCACCTTATTCTCTCTCTTTAGTTTATCTGCTTCTGAAAGTGTTGAGACCATCTTTTCAGGTGAGAGGTTGTAGGTTATGATTATGCTAGGGTATAAGGAAGTGAAGTCTAAACCTGTAACGGGACGTTTATTTTCAAGACCTTTCTCTGGCGGAAACACATATGCTCCTGAAAACTTTCCAGATGCTTTTTGATTAGAAATTTTCGTGATGTATAGAATATCTTACACTCAAGCTTCAACGCCTAAAAGATTAGATACTTTTGTTCCTATAGCATAATAATGTGAGTTGAATAATGATATATAAGCGATTGAAGCCACCTCTCTATAATCATTTATAACATTAGATTTGACCATGAGCTCCTGATAACGTAAAGCATCTATAACACAATAATTTACAATTTTATACACATGTTTTTTGAAAGAGTCAGAAGTTCTATCTCCTGCTTCTGAATAATACTTCCATAATTTGCTTATAGGCATATCAGATTTGCCATCAAGATCACACTTTTCTAAGAAGAATTTGAGTGATGTTTTCTCAGAGCAGGGGTGGAGTTGCATAAAACTTGCATGAACGTCAATTGATATACATCCAGGGAGTTTAAAAAAGTAGGATTCAATACTTAAACTAGAATAGATTTTGATCTTAATAGATTCTCGACATCCTTTTTTTTATGATCCTTATTTAGTAAATTCCTATCTGTCTTTTACCCATTGTGAATCTTTCTGGAAGAAATTACTGCTAGATGGTTTCCCTTTCCCTCCAAAATAATTTCAAATAAGAATAGAATTAGCATTAGCTTTCTTACGTAGTTTCGCTAATATTCGCTGAACTATCCATTCAAGAACCTTTAATTTGGTGGCCTTTTCTACAATAAAAGGCCAATCATATCCTGAATCATTAAAATCAAGTTGGATATTTGGGGCAAAAGATTTCTAATATAAAGCAAAAGCTTTTAATAAATTGGCTTGATTTTCACATATAATTATTGTCTAGTGTAGGTTCAGAGTTATCTCAACATCAACAAAACATATTTGTTCTAGTAGTTTTGGGTTGTCTTTCCAATGTAGGATCATGCAGATCATAAAAACTTGTGACATGTCATTTTTCGCTTCTGGAAAGTTTTCTGATTCACGTGAATCATATATTTCTATGTCTTATATTAGAACTAATGCTTAATCGTAAGTAAAGAGAGAAGATGAATAAATTTTGTAAAGTGATTCAAAATTCTCTATAGACGAAAATTATTAATGTGAATATAAAATGCATGTGGATAGTGATAGGATCTCGCATAATAAGGTGCACTGTTATTATATTTATAGTTACTTATAGATCTCCATCTGGAAAGTAATATCCTATATTCTCTCATAACTTTACGATAATATGTGCTTGTATTATCTAAAGCTGTCTCTATTTTACATTCAGAATCAACCTTTGAATTGTAGCTTGAGATAATATCGAGAACAGTAAACCTTTCATCTTTATTAGATATAATAATACAGAAATACAGCTTTTTTTTCGCATGAAAACTACGGATAGGGAACGTCTTTATACATTCTATCTGGATTAGATTCATGTTCACAGTGTTTTTACTACCATCTTTCTCAGTAGTAAGAATACCCTTTATTTTGGATCAGAATTTAGGAATACTTGTATTATCGAGAATATGAATATCAAAAAATACCTTAATACTGGTAATAGTTACGATTGCTTTCTGATCATTAATGAGATATCCGTAAAGGCAGAGGACATAATAAGTGATATTATTAATATATTCTTTAGCTTCTTCTATATCAACTGGCATGAATGGAATATCTCGATGATTCACTATTTAATCATTAAGAATTGTAGTCGAACTCTTATTATTTCTCGCAACTAGTTCATTATAAGTTGGAATGCCTATCAAGTAATTCTCGCTGAATAACGAAGTACTTGACCAATTTTTTCTTTTTTAGCCTCTGGATAAAAAAGTGGGGCGGAGGCATTGAGAAAGTCTAAAAACTCAGATTAGGTCATAGTAAAAATTTTCAGATATTATCTAGTATACCCTGGTTTTGGTATAATACCCTAACAAAAAAGTTTAAAATAAAAATAAATATTATTATAGATATCAAAAAGATTAACCGAGAATAATATCAATGAGAGGTGAATACATTTGTCAATATCCCTCTAATGAAGAGATAGTTTGTGAAAATAGAAGTATGCGATCAGAAAGGTGTAGTATTCACTGAAAAAGACGTCAGCAACCTCAATGTAAATAAAATGGCTATGTAAGACGGACAGCATCTAAACATGGATTTTGTAATCTGTATGTAAATAAGTACTATTCAAAAGAGTATTATCACTGGAAGAAATTAGATAAGATGTTTCAGAATAAGCAGATACCAGAAGCATTAGAACAGGCTTTCGATAAAATAAAAATCCCTAATGCTATAAGTTGTCCCTAATGACTTATCAAAAATTTGACCTCATAAAAAATTTATAAGGACGGTAAAAAAACTTAACAAGGACGCTAGAAGTATCTCCTTTAACAATTTTAAAACTCTGGAAAGGCAATTTACTACTTGTTCTTAAGAATCTTATGAGCCCTATGAATTTTCAAACTCTTTACCTTTTTTTTTATTTTTTTTTTATACATATCATACATTGACCATATATCAACCATATCAATCATATATATAATTAATATTTACCTAAGTAGTATACTATAGAAAAATTTTAATTTTTTCTTAGAATTTTAAAATTTCTTAGGGTTGATAGGGTTCTTAAGGACAAGTAGTAAAGAACTCAATAAAACAAGTTAAAAAATCCAAAAATGATATTTAGATTATCTCTAAGAGTGTTCTCAAGAAAATTTCTTATAGGAATAGAGAATTTTTATAGGGACAGTAGCATCCAAGTTGGCCTAAAACTGGCGAATTAAAAAAATCTACCCTAGAAAAATCTGCCTTAGGAAATTTTCGACTTCTAGAGGCAAAAGTGAAATAGCAAATTAACTTTATTAGGATGCTAGAATGGTTTCTTAAACGGTTTGCCTTAAGTGCCTTAGATGACTTAGAAAATTTCAGACTTCTTTACTTTTTATTTTTTTTATCTATAGGTATAGCAAAAATATAGCATACCTATAGCATACATATAGTATACTGATACATATACCGAAAAGATATCATAAAAAAAATTCATTTTTTTCTCTAGAACTTTATTTTACTAGGACACCTAGGGCATCTAGGGAAGATAATACAGGAACAAGATAAAATAAAAAAAAGAACACTTTCTTCTATAATAAACTTTGACCTAGAAAGTGACCTAGTAAAATTTCTGCCCTAAGACATGAAATCAGTATACATATACTGGTAATAAATAGGCAATAGTTGGAATGTAAAATGGCATCAGCTTTGATCTTTCAAATTGTATATCTCAAAACCACTTTATTCTGGTAATCAAATGGGTCAGACATGATCCCTTAAAAATTATGCAAATTGAACTTTTTTACATGTAGTACTTGCATAGATATTACTATGCCCGATATTTATTTTATATTCGATTAAAATGAAATATGATAGAAACACTTACGAAATATAAATATATTTTATACAATGAATAAGATAAATATTATACTTACTCGTTTTGTAACAATGGTCTAACAATATCTCGTAAAATTATATATTGAATTTTGTATGACAGGCTGTTATTGAAAATAGAGGTAGCAAATTAACTGCACTATTTGTAATCTTTTTTTACATGATTTTAACTTCTAGAAAGGCAACTAAATAGGCGTAAAGAGAAAGTACTCTAACATAGAATCTAGCATTTAATCAGACGCAGAAAGCTAGCATCTTCAACATAAAACCAGATATCCAAACAGCTACAGAGGGTCAACAGCTCCCATTATAGAATTTAGTATGTAAATGATTCAGAAATAAGAAGAAAGCAGTCACCATTAGATCGTGACATCACCATTAAATTAAAGTACTACATTTACTATTAGACTATGAAGTCACCATCATATTATACAGGAAATAGTTAAAATAATGATATAAATGCAAAGGAGATATCCGTACGTAGGTTATGAAATCACTATCAGATTGTGATATTAGGTTATGAAATTACTACCAGATTATGTAATTAGATTATGAAATTACCGGCAGACTATGAAGCTACTACTATATTATGAAGCTACCAGCAGACTATGAAGTTAGCATTATATTATGAAGATACCAGTAGACTATAAAGTTACCACTATATTATGAAAACACTGGCAGACTATAAAGTTACCTTTATAACCTAATCTAAGTTGCATGTGACTTACATAACATAATTATGTTATGTAAGTCACATGCGACTGTATCAATTAAAAAATCTTTTAAATCTAAGGTATATGTAAAAATATTTATATTTATATATTTATAATTCAAATATTAAAAATTTTATTTATATTAATAATAGTTGCGTCATTATTATAATAATTAGATAGCTGAAGAAATAAAACTTATACTCCAAGTGATCATATTCAAAAACCTGCTTATAATTTAGTTGTTCAATGGGTTAAAAATGTATAGAATGCTGTAGATTCTTCTTTAATTTGTCGTTCTTTCAAGTGTTGTAAAATTTCTAATAAATAAGATGGAAGCAAAGAACATCTTATAATTGATTATGATAAAGTTGTGGGAAGTAATACTACTAATAAAGGTAATTATATTTACTTAAATGATGAGATAGATGATCAGGAAGATAGAAATATCAAAATTTATTTAGAAAAAAGAAAAAATAATATTGGTGATAAAGAATATGAAGATGATTATTATGAAACATGAGAAAGAAATCATATTAATGATTGGAATTAAATGTATAATAACATAATGAAATATTTGAAATATTTGAGAATTTGAAATAAAGTATAAACATTTTGAAAATAATGAATTTAATTATTTTTTTAATTTTATTAATTTTATTTGTAAAATAAATTAAGTTCGCGTTTTGTATTCGGGATTAATTAAATTTTTATGTTATATGAACGATATAATACTCGGATACAATTAACTGGGGTATTTTTTTTAAGGGGGTACTTTATAGAGCGCTATACGGTACTACGAAAATTTAGATCAATATAATTTAGTAATGAATAATGCCTTGAAAATTTTGATAGTTCTTGTATATTCATTCAACTTGGATTTTATCTTTTTTCTTTTGAGACAATTGTATTGAATAAGATATTTTAATCTTTAACTAATTAAAAAATGTTACTGTGATAATATTTTTAAGGGAAAGGAAAGCATTAAAAAGCATGAAGAGGACGTGAAAGAGAAAAGCTTAAATTCTAAAAGCATTAATACTTCAACCAGTGTATACGTCATACGCAATGAGTATTCCATATGGATTCATGGTAACATGCATGTACTGTATATCCCGGGAATAACCTAGTTATCCTTTACTTCATATGGGATAACAAGGATTTCTTTATTTTGTTATATCAGGCAACCTTGACAAAGATTGCATATCTATCAAATAAATTTAATATCAATCAAATGAATTTCTAAATGGATCTTCCTCGTCGTCGATTCGTATTATATGCTTGTAATCTTTACAACTAATTTTTGTTATCTCATACTACCTTAAAGAAAAGTATCTGAACACAAAAATTATCATTTTTTTTTTTTTTGTCTGAAACCGATAAGTTATTCATTCAATTAATTACCTTCTTAAAATGCAAATTTCCACAAAATTAATTAATCACAAGTGTAACGTACTTCCAATTGAATTTAATTTTCGCATTGCGCCCGCATATTTGATTAGATCTACCTTTGGCGTTTGTTCTAGTTAAATTTCAACGTAAATTTTAATCAAAGAACTGATCAGAATAAAGACCGTTTGTGGTCAAATTTTTTAAGGCTTAGTTGTTATTGGAAATTATTGCCATTTGCCATTTCGCATTGGTACTGAAGAAAGATTTTTTTCGATGAATTCTGCATGTATCTTTTTTTTTTAGGATAATAAACTAATAAATAGACATGTTATACCAGATGATTTTTTATTAATTAGACTTTTACATATTTGGGCAAAATTTTAAGTTCTAATCCTGAACGTGGTGTTGTGTATCCAAAAAAAGGTGAGGGGCACGATGTCTAATTTTGGAATGATTATATTCGCTGTTTTTTATTGACGATCACCACCACAAATGATAAAAAAAAAGAATGAATGACAAAACAATATTAACCAACTATATCTTTATTCCCACAAAGAACAAGAATATGTTGTTTTTAAAATATACATTTCTTCTTAGCGCTAGATCAATAACTTTGCTTTCTTGAGCACGACTTTTTTTTTTTTTTAAGATGTATCGAACGGATTTTACGAATTTTATAAATAAATGCACGTTCGGATCTAATATATTAATCTATTATCATCGACAAAATGTTCCTTCATATTTTCATATTTTCTGACTTTGTTAAAATCTTCGAATCGAAATTTATTCTTCCGACATATCCGATTAACCCGTTATACACTAAAAATGAGCAACATCTAACGTCTTACAATGAAATAGACTATACTTTTAAAGGATTCATAATAAGTTTATTTACGATCGGTTAAAAATTTTCGTTCGGGATATATGTACTTTACATGATTTAAATTTCTTTTTTTTACATATGCGAAACTGCTGTGATCAATCTTAATAAGTTGATCTAACGCTTTTTCTATTCAAATTCCAATAATACAAAAGAAGTTTGGCTGAATTCGATCAAGTCACGCACCAGTATATCACATTTTATATGTATGATGAAAGGATCAGCCACATCGATACCAGAGATTGGTTGGGCCTCTTTTTTTTTTATCATTACGAATTAAAACACAAATAGTTAGAGCCGAAATTCGACCAGTTATCTCAAGATGACCAAAAATAAATACACGTTTAAATACACGTTTCGAAAAATTAAAACAATCAACTTACGGATTTTCCGATAACCTAAGAACGGGAAAAAGAATTTCACGGATAATTTCAATTTATAACATTAATACGTTAATTCGGTTCAATTATATATTTATAGATATTCATGTTACGTATGTTATAAATAAATATGCATCATCTAAAAAAAGATGATGATGCATTTTCCCGATAAGTTTAATTCTACCAGGTCAAGACGAGTGTTGTTCAAATGAAAAAGAAGTGCATTATCAGATTATGCAACATGTTAAAAAGAAATCTTTTTTTTTTGTTTTATTATTATTGAGTTTCCTTTCTTTTGATTTTTTAGAAATTCTTTTCCGAAAAAAAGGATAAAGAAAACCACATAAATCCGATTTAATGAAAGAAATCTAACCCCTTTAATGGATGAGTAAATTCGATTCGTTCATGATTTATCATTCACGTGACACGATTTCTCAATGTCGTGCATAATTGAGTACGCCCGAGGCAACATTTTTATTCGGTGGGTGTATAGAATTACAAATAAAACAATTCAAAGTTTTTTTTTCTCCTGCCGATAATTATATCAATAGGACGTATCTCCAGTAAGCCAAATTAATATAAAATCATCAACGTCCTGCATAAAATTTTCTTTGGTGTTTGATTTTCTACCTGGTCCTGTTACTCAAACGTCTCGATTCTAATTATATTATCTATGTGGTTTTATAACCCCTATAAACATAAAAAAAAAAATTTTTTTTCTTATAATGGACAAGGTTGCACGATGTTAAAAAAATTGTAAAAATAGAAATTTCAATTCAAAATAGTAAATTAAAATCAAGGGAAATAAAAAGGAAAAAAAAGGAAAAATAGAAAAGTAATAAATAACGAATTTTTTTTTTTTTTTTTTTTGTTATTATAAAGTTCGATGTTGGAGAGTAAAAGCACAAAAAAAAAAATTTTAAAAATTTCATAAAAATCTCCTTAATAAAGAATGTAAATATAAATTATATTTTATAAAAATAATATATAGATTGAAATATAGAAAAAGAATCAATTTAAAACAATGGTGCTACACCTTCAATATTCTGTTTATAGTTACGCAAATATTACTATTTCTAAAACTTGATGAAAACTCCGTGATTTTATTGAATTACGCACACAATATAAAAAAAAAATTTTAATGTCTTTCTTTAAGATGGATATAAAAAGGGCGTATTCTCCCACTCAATTCCATTTCCTCATCGAAAATATCGATAGCCCATTCAACCATTTTATTTTAACGAAAAATAGTTTTCTTTTTTTTTAAAGAAAATAAAAAATTCAAATAATATAATATATAAGGACAAAAAAAAAAAAAAAAAAAATTTTAATATGAATAAATTTATATCTTTGGCATTTTTTGCCTATATTCTCTTATCTCTCATTGCTGTTTCTGCAGCTTTACAAACTGATGAACAAACCCTTGAAAAACGAACCGGTTGTCTAACTAAGAGAGGTTTGGGTAAAAGAACGGACAAAAAATGCCCTTGCGCTCTCGCTGAAGCAGTTTTTGATGGCCCAGTTGGAGGATTAACTGTCTATGCTCAAGACGAATGTGGTTTCACGACCGTCACAGGACTTTTCAGTAAGGGCTTCCAAGATGCTGGCAAAAATTACACTTTCCAAGTTGTTGACGAATGTGGAGAAGTCCTCCAGGACCTCACATCAGGATTAAATGTACAACCTTCCCCCGATGGTGGCACGAAGTCCTTCAGAAATCTTTTTGAAAATTTCAGTCTAAACTGTGGCAATACGGGCATCCTCGCGCCAAGAGGTGGATTAAGGAAACGCACTTGTCCCAATAAAATGATGAAACGACAAGGAAATGGAAATGGAAATGGAAATTCTTTTATGCGTATTAATGAAAGTGGCGACAATTATGCTCAAGCGGATATTAACGAAATTTAAAAATTTTGATATTTACATATTTCATGGATTATTATTATATTAGAATATAATGTATTTTTTTTGGCATAATTATGAACACTTTTTCTTCATCGAAAACAAAAATGATAAATAATTTTTTTTTTTGGATGATGTTACAAAACTAATCTTTTTCACCATTAATAAATTTTTTAATTTAAAAATTTTATTTGGATAGTTTGGATAGTTGTGTTTCTCTTTGACTCGCGTCAAAAAAATTTTTTTTTAAAACTAATATCATGTACGAATCAATAGAATAATTTCTGCACTACTGGTTATTTTGAATAGTATTCAAATGAGAAATGTTTCAAACATAAGGTTACAATAAAATATTAAATTATAAAAAAGTAAAATTCTCTCTCATTACAACTTTTATTTCCTGTTGTCCCTGTGTACAAAATTCTTTATTGGCCATTGTAAATTTTATTGTTTATGCTTTCTTGGTACACATTAATGCACCTCTATAAATAGTTCCTTTCCATAAAAATGCAAGTTATATGTAAATATTAACTTTATTAATTAGGCTAACTAATGTGATGATCAAAAAAAATTTTCAGCCACACAATAAAACCTAAAAAATCCGTTCAACGTAAAATACGCGTTTTTTATTAAACATGATATGAATTGTTTACATATTAAGAAAAGTCTCAATTCGAAGTACCTTAATATATAAACAACCAAATTGTCTCAAAATCCTCATATCACACACCTTTCCTTAGTTTTATGGTATGACGAAAGTTACGTGTCAGACGCAGGATTATAATTAACAATTACTATGACAAAAACGTATTTCGGCGGTTGATGGTTTAATCAGATCAAACATATGCAATTTTGTGTACTTCATTCGTCACATTGTAATAATTAAGCTTGCTGTATACAAAATCAAATGTTAGTGTCAAACGATTTTGCAATCATTTGATGAATTGTTGTTGGTTCAAGTATTTATCT